TTTTTATTTTGCCCTTCTTTTAAATTAATAAACAATATAAAAAGTACAATTATGACATTGATATTCTCAAAAAATGTACTATCAAAAGGGTAATTTTGGAAAATCAACTTTTTTCAAATGCAATAATTGTACTACCAAAAAAAGTTGGATTCCCCACATACAGTGTCTTCTATCCTATTTTATTTTCCTGTTTTGTTACTCTCTCCAAACTCAAGTTGGCTAGTACCTATCCTCCTTGAGTTTGAGGGGGACTGTTAGTATATTATATGTATTATACATTAGTGCATAATATGTTAGCTGTAAATTATCAAGCTTTAATCATGTTGTTTTCTTAGTGCTTCCTTAGTGCACACTTTCTGCTTTCTTCTTTCGGCTCTCTTTGCCCCTTTGTACACTCTCCTCTCTATAAATGGAGAGTCATCTTCACATTGTAAAGACACACTTAACATCAATCATAATACATACAATCTATTCTCTCTCTATTTCTTTTTATACATTGAATCTTACAAAGATTCAACTACCCTGCAAGACTCAACTGTTACTTCCACATAAGCATGCATTCGCAATATGGAAGTGTCATGAACAACTCATTTGATTGTCCCAAACATCAAACCAAAGTAATATATACATAATTGTCTAGTTTGTTTGTTGCTTTACCTACGCTCTGGAGTTGAGACAGTTGGGTGTTTGCCTTTACTTTTGAGTTTTCAAGTGTGTGTATGTTTTGTGCCTACCCTTTTGGGCTTGTAAGAGGATGCCCTAAAGAAATGCTGTAATTTACTACAATGACTAATGGTGTAATTTTTACCCTAGAGAAAATGGCGCTGCCATAGGGTCTGAATTGAGGAGAATGATCCAAATGACCTCATTACAAACCTGATTTCCAAATTAATACCAAAGAGAAGAGAAAGTTACTACACTCTAATGAAGGTTCATATGTGAAAATAATGAAAATATGAAATTTTTTGAAGACATTGGCAAATTCAAATAAGAAAATCCAAGCATTTACCCAATAGGCGAAATTCAGTCTATGTATCTCAAAAACTAGATCAAGGAATAAAATTACCTGGGATTAAATTCATAGCATGCAGCAAAAAGAACTATGAACGCAAGCTTATTATTGTATTCCATATGTGAAAAGCACTAATTAGCAAGGTAATGGACTAGCCTTCTGAGGGGTTTAAAACTGACCCCAAGCCAGCAACTGAAACGAGGGAAAGCATTAGCATAGTATATTTATGCCCAAGAAGGGGGAGGGGAGGATATGGACCAGGATTCTGGCTATGTTAGGATAGTTTTAGATAGGTTGGCTACTTTTAAAAATGAGGTTTAGTTGCTTGTTTTTCATGCCTGTTCTCATATTTTTCTGTTGTCTTGTATGCTTGGAATTCAATGTGGTTCAATGTAGTTACAGGGAGACATGCATGAAACAATTAGGATACATCAATTTGGTAAATTCGAGTTTGTTACATAAAACCAAAATTTGGGGGTTGTTTTATTATTAGAAGGTTGATGATACGTGCATCTCATCAAGGTAGAGCTAATCCCAGTTGGGTTCATAGGAAATTTCAACACTTGGAGGTTATTGAATGGTTGTTTCTTCTGCCAAAACTCTAGAAACATGTCCTGAGAATTTTAGAGAGAGAGAGAGAGAGAGAGCAAATCTGAACATCAGAGTTTCAAAGCTCCTTACATCATTCAGTATTAGCAAAGAAGTTTTCCAGGGTGGGGGCAGACAACGACGATGGATGACGCCTTCAAAGTATCACTTGCTTTGCATTGCTTCTCAAACATTATCAGGAGATGTCTCCCTTGCTCTTCTATTCTCAGCTGTAGATTATTTCTTTGAATCTGCAAAAAATAAAAACTAAAAAGAAAAGAAGAAAAAAAAGTGACAAAAAAAATCAGTATCCATAAATAATAGATGGCTATGGCAACAAGAGCCACCAATTTCCTACTATCATGGTTGCAACAAGGCCATCCGGCGGTAATTTCTAATGACAAAATGACAAACATCCATTTACTGGGGACATCAAAGGAAATGGTATTTTAAAGTTTAGAAAGATCGTTCTCGGTGATATGGATTAAGGGGGTTCTTGCATTTCTATATGTTGTTCTTGAGGAAGATGTATGAGATTCTTCAAGGAAAAAAATAAAAAGAAAAAGGTACCTGCCTATAAATTATCTTCAATGGCTCAAGAAATTTATTTTTAACTTTTAAAATTTTGTTACTCAACAAGGAGACTGCATGCAACTAGAATGGCTAACCAAATGAGTACCACAGTGAAAAAAAATGAAATCCATGAACTAAAAAACTGCTTAAAGAGTAGAAAGAGAAAGGGAAGCACGGTCAAATCATAAGCAAGTTTGGAATGGAGAAATGAATTCAAGGTGCCTTGTGTCTTGATTTCTGTAATTTCATTTTTTGTGATAACTATTAAAAATGAGCAAAACAAACCCTAATGGCTGGTTTTCAAGGCATGCATCAAGCTGCTAACAAGTCAGCAGCAGGCTTCAAATAGATCTAATAGTGGGAGCATTAAATTTTTTCTACTAGTTTTATTTCCAGTAAATTGCAATCAGGATCAAGAAGTGACAAATCAAATAAAAATAAAATCCATTTATGATAAACAAATCCATACCTCTGACTGCTCATGCAAGGGCTTTTGGACTCCCATCTGTAATCGTATTGCTTCAGTGAGCTCAATACCCCTGCCCACATATAAGTTAAGAGGTCTGAATAAATCCAGTCTAGCAATCCATATGGGAAACAACCTGATACTGAATTTGAACTAGTAGGTTAAGTTGCATCAAGAGGCAAAAAGCTTCGAAGGCATTGAGAGAGAGAGAGAGAGAGAGAGAGAGAGAGAGAGAGAGAGAGAGAGTGTATGTGTGTGTGTGCCAAAATCCTTTAAAAAAAATAAAACAAAAAACATAAAACGAGCTAATACTTGTCATAAAAAATGCAAGGCAACGCAAATCAAACAGTGGCATGCAGTAACAAGTCATTAGAATGTGTCGCCATCAGTGGTGAAATAATTCCATAAGCTACAATGCACCACCAATCTTGACCAAGAAATTTGTGTAAACTACTTGAGCTACTTTAGATGGAAAGAGTAGCTACTTAATTCCTGGTTAAAACACATCTCAAGGCAAAGATATAATTCCGGGTTCCCCAGACATAAATTGTAAAGTTGAATGCATATCACTTAACTGAGACAAGAAAAACTTATTAATAAAAATTATAAACCATGTATCTTTTCCCAACTTCATAAAACTGCACATCACCTCTAACGTTCATCATAATCAAGTCAAAATAGCAAAACATTTTAATTTCCCCATTAATATTTAGGAATATAAAAGCATGTCTAAGTTAATTCAATAATCCAGGCAACAATAGGTGAATGACAGTCTCTGGAAATCTAAATGAGTCACACAACTACCAGACGCATCAATACTTCAAAGATGTACGATATCTAATTCCCTTCAAGCACAAGAAGAAAATGCTGCGTTGCAAGATAGATATACATCTAAGTTCATCCAAGTCAATCTACTTGCGTTTTCAAGTCCAGAGATGCGACTTCCTCAATGCGGGTAAACTTTTTCTCTGAAGATCCTGCAAATCAAGAAAATGGCTAGCTTAATATGGTGCTGCCACAGCTCGTACACTTTTTCACCATTATTAGGTCCATGAGGTAAAGAATTCAAGATAACTACCGAAGTAAAAATTAGATTTAGGCCTAGAAATTTGAGCCAGGAAAAAAGAAAGAAAGAAAGAAGTCTGAGGGAAGGAGCTGACTTGCAAAGACAATTAGCATTTCATGACAGAGTACTGAGACTCGAGTAACCATGAAATACACAACCATAAGCATCACAACAAATGCCAATAAAATTGACAGTGAAAAAAAAGAAAGATAATATAAGAAATTAGTGTATTAAAGATCTACATCACGCAGTAAGTTACAACAAAGGGAAAGCAAACTCAGCAAACAGGGAGATGAATAATCACAAGAAAATACAAAACGAATTACTGCACAGTGAAAGTTTCGAAAAACAGGAACGGAGCCAAAAAGGATCTCATAATTTTAGGGGCAAATGAGGCTAAGAAGTACTGTAAGGTGAGAAGAGTTACACACTTTCACTGCCACCAAGTTTATTGACTGCTTCAGCAAAGGCCTCAGGTGTCCAACACATGCACATTTTGGTTGGACCACCACTTGCTGTGGATGTGGAGTTAAGAGCATGAGGAGAATCCTCAGATGGAGCTGAAATCTGCTGGAGTACTTTGGACTGTTGTTCCGAATAATTTGTTACCTACAATAACACAATAAGGACACAACAATACAAATTAACACACTTTCCATTTTATTAACAAAAATGTGTGAAAAACGTGAAATGCTTTCTTAAGAGTCTTCTTTCCCGAGGAGATTCTAACCTTTAGCTCAGGATCTTCAACAATGTTATCAACAAAAATTTCATTCAAATCAGAATTCAATGAATCATCATCATTTATTAGGTCAACCCAATCCTGCCAATCATTTTGTTTACTAAGGTCTTCAGTTGCCATGGCACAACCACCATTCATGCTGCTTCCAATTTGAATTTTCCTGCTGGAAGTATTTACAGGATAATCAAAGAAATCTGCTAATGAATCTGTAGACAAGGAATAACTTTTGCTTGATGCTACAGATTGGAGCATCGTAGAATGACAAGGAGCTAGTGGCATTGATGCCCCAGCATTTGTTGAAAAGGGTGACTTTCTTGAATGCTTTTCAGGAGGTGCAATGGAGGAAAGATAAAGATCATTGAAGTATCCTGAGGTAGATGAGAACATAGGACCAACAACCCTGCTGTTCGAGAGAAAAGACGAGTAAAGAGATGGAGAATTTGTATCCAGTTCTCTCTCCATGAAAACCTGTTGAGCGTTGGGCAACTTAGGATATTTCTCTTCCAAGGTGGAAGGAAGAACAGGCAAGGCTGATGAAAGAGCTCCTTGAAAAATGATACCGGAAACCTACAACAAAAGGAAGGTAAATCATACTATTATTATTACTTCTCTAAGGATACAGAAGAAAACACAACACATGAAAAATTTGACACTCAAAATTATGCCTATAACACCTATGAATTCGTTAGAATGAATTGTTGCACAATACAAGTTCCTCTGTCATAGGTATAGAGAATAGACTACAGAGCATTTGCACTGTGCATATTTTCAAAAGTTACCACAGATCATTTGCACTGCACATAGCTTCAAAAATTACAATACAAAGCCTTCTTCATACCTCTAAAATTTAATTATTTCTTCTAATAACTAAGCCCTGATATAGAGCACTTGCAAGTGTCTTCCAAAGAACTGTATATGCCCGCAACGTTAGGGAAAAATATTGGAGAAAATCGAAGGAACCAAAGTCATAATGCATAGATTTTTACATAATACACCTCCAAATGATGATCATGCTATAAGAGAAGTGTCGACTTGCTAAAATGTAGGCCCAAACATGATTACACTGAAGATCTTAGCCGTAGAATGAATAAACATACCCCAAATCGTTTAAAGGATAAATTACACTTTTTCACCCTTGTAATTTGACCCAAATTTACTTTATTATCTACGATTTCAATTTAAGCAATGTTAACATTTAAAGACTGATAGTAACGTCACATCCTAGCAATAAAAGTCTTTACCCAACCCATAAATCACAACTTAACTAAACTCAAATTGTTCAAATGCCCCAATAATGGATCATTTCCACCACAAAGGTCCATCCAATGCATGAGTTAATCAAATGGCATGCAAATAAAAAAAAAAAAGAGTTTTTACAATCCCCATATATATATAAACTCATATATATATATATATATATAGAGAGAGAGAGAGAGAGAGA